TACGCATAGTGGAGAAGCATACTGGATCTGATGGCATAACACGCATTGTGTCGGTCAAAACGAAAAATAATGTTTTAAATCGAGCTATAACAAAAGTCGCACCATTAGATGGAATGTACTACACATTATCATCGCGCTCCATGTGGCTCGCAGTTATCACAGTCATACATAGAAAAACATGTAATTCGGTAATGATGTTCGAGATCCCATTGGAAGATTTTAACCTCTTTCTCAATTTTTATTCGTTTTTCGTCATCGGGAAAGACAGAGCTGTGAAACTTTGATCACAATAATAATTATTTTAAAACACAAATAAATAGTCTAAGGTTATTATAACTATTTACAAGTAATCAGCTGTCCGAATATTTTGCGTCGTTCAGTTTGTTACAATCTGTATATATTTGACGGTCATATTTGCGTAAAATTTATTTTATTGTGCTGTGCCATTGGAGTTTATACAAATCACTCCAGTTGCGATAAGTTCTTGCAGAAATTACTCTTTGAAAAATTTAAATATTGATATTTTCTTATATTAAATGTGCGAGTTCATATGATTTGTGTCGATTTACGTAAAAATAAAAGGAAGGAAAATTTGAATAAAAACATTTTTGAGTGAGAAATAAATTCAAGACAATAACCATCACAAATCAAATGAATTTGACACAATCTTATGCAAAAATTACATTTCAAGCACTTTTATGAGCCAGATATCAAATGAAAAGTAACATACCAAGTTATGGGGCGAGAAATGGAACATTACATGCCTTTACCTAATAAATCTCATCATCAATCAAACTCCTTCGTTTACCTATTTCGAAAATGATAAAAAAACTTATTAAAATAAAAATAATAATAAAATAAAGTGCATGCCGCTAACATGCAAATATCAACGCAGATGCATCTATAAGTATTAAGTAAGTATCTACTCTCCAAACAAATCACACTCATTTAACATATTACTTAACGTGGTAAGATCTCAGCGTTAATTAAGTAATTTGGTTTCTGAAAAATAAATTACCAAAAAGAGGTCCTCAATTTTTTCGGAAAAAAAAAGCCTAACAAATTGAGAGAATGTGAGTAAGACAAGTATAATTTACAGCTAACTGAAAACTATACAATAAAGCAATAGTCAAAATGTCCCAAAATAATCGACTGTAATCAACATTCATTTCACCAAAGCACACCGAAAGAACCACATGAAAAGCATGTACTTGAATAAAAGCACACAATAAAAATGAACCGAAGCGTGAAATTAAAGAAAATAAATTTTAACATGGCTTTTGGAAATAGATTATTCCATTTTCGCGTTTGGAAATAGATTATTTCAGAATCATTCATCAATTTAGAAGATTTCAAATCACATTCATTTAAACTGGCATTACAAAGGGTGACGCAATAGAAAAAAATATGATGAAATCAACCATGAATCTTGAAAAATTGAACAAACATTTTTTTTGCACCACCCTATGCACGCTATAATGCATTTTATTGAAATACGGTAAAACAAATGCAACTCACACATAAAATCTATCAAAAAAACTAACACGCACGTTCGTTTGATCCGTTTAATCAATTGAAAAGTTTTTTTTTAATTTCACACGTACACTTCACAATTGAAAATGGCGTCAAAGTATATCTAAAACTATTTTAAAAATTGCACTGAAAAATCATGTGACGTGTGTATGAACGATTTTCCATTTTCACTAAATATTTTAATTCTTTTTTTCATTTTTCACCAAATTCATCGAATAAAAAAATGGATTTTAGAAATAATTTTTGTTTGAATGCACTATGAAGTGAAATGTCGATGATTTACGTGCGCTTCGGTTGAATTTCTGAGCGGAACTATGCGGAAGACGCCATAAGTGATGTTAAGTTGGCATTTTGCGAGAAAAAATACAAGCAAATACACAGAAAGTTTATGGAAATAAACGCAATATGCATCAAAATGCAAAGATCATTTAACGGGATTTCACATATACACGGGTATACGCACGTACACAATGTTGATCGTCGTTTGATATCATCGCATGTTCGATTTACTTGCTCACTTGTTGCTTTCCATGTATTTACATTTCGCGGACTACGCGCTCAATTGATATCACTGTGTTAATTAATATACATGGTCATATATGTGAAACTACATTCATACCAACATGTAGACGTCTGTCTACATCAATGCACTCGTTCCGTTGTGAACTATACAAAACTATTACGATCGTCTGAAGCCGATAATACATTGTGCGCAAAAAAAAAAACAAAAAGCGGCGTTTTGGGCTATAAATAGTATATTGAGCATTTATCTATGTAGGTCAATGCGTTCATTCACATCGAGTTTTTCGATGCTATACTTCAATAATTTTCTTTCAAAATTTTTGCCGCTCACATACACATATCGCACACAAATAAAAAAAAATATAAAATATATATTCTTTAAAAATATTCTTGATAAATTACACCACATTACGTAACATGGTTAGTTCGATTTCAGCATACCTTATTACGTAGCTTCTGAAAATGGCGATCCAATTTCTCGAAAATTTATCGCGGTATGAAAAATGAATGACAAAAAAAGTCCTCAATTTTTTTTTTGGAAAAAAGCTCAAAAAATCAAAAGAATTTCCGTTTGCAATAAAATCACTGAATATTTTGGACAAATTGAAAAACAGGAAAAATAGAAAAATTAACACTAGTTTATCAAATTTGGCTGCTAACTGTAGAATCCAAGTATAATTGATTGAAGTAACTGTAAACATATAGTAAAGCGATAGTCAAGATGTCTCAAAATATTTGGCTGTAATCAACGAATGAAAAAGTGCTACATGAGCGGCATGAGCCTGACTGAAACCAGGCAGTAAAAATGAACGGAAGTGAGATAAATTTTAACATAGCGGGTTCAACGGGAGCAAATGTGATCCGTTATACGAATTGCTTTAAAATCTATATCAAAAAATCTTTTCATCGAAAAACTAGCGTTAGATTCAACAGTGTTAGAAAATAGATTACAAATCACGCAAATTCTTGTCTCAATAAAACTACAATGTCTGGATGATGCAATAGAACAAGCAAAAACGAGTTTTCTAGGGCCTTGAATATAATGAAATCAACAGTGAATCTTGAAAAATTGAACAAATTTTTTTTTTGCACTACCCTATGCCATACTCGCTATAATTTTGATAATTTTGCATAACAGTGATAGAAATGCAACTCACACATGAAATCTAACAAAAAAAAAAAAAAATGACGAACACTCACCGTTTGCTTAATCCATTTATTGAAAAATTATTAACTGAAAATGTTAATTTTTCTTTTCTTTCATGCCACACTTCACAATTCACTATTGAAAATGGCGTCAAACTTTTTTTTAAACGGCACTATAAAAATGCATTGAAAAGTCGTATGTCGCGGGTATGAACTATTCGACACTGTGTTATGTTATTTTTCGTTTCCGTTTTTTTGGCACCATTTTCACTAAATATTTTAATTTTTTTTTCTATTTTATTTATTCAATCCAAATTATTTCCAAACACAAATTTCTTAACTCAAAGGGATTGAAGAACGGAAAAAATGCACTATTAAATAAAAAGTCGATGGTTGACGTCAGCTTCGGTTGAATTTCTGAGCGGAACTATGTGAGAGACGCCATTAGTGATGTTAAACTGGTATTTTGCGAAAAAATTTAAGCAAATACACAGAAAGAGTATGAAAACACACACAAAATGAATGGAAAGGCAATGATCACATAACTTGACTTCATATGTACCCGAGTATACGCACTCACACAATGTTGATCGTCGTTGGATATCGTCACACTTCGCTGAGCTTTACGCGACTTCACATACTGGCGTATACGCGCTCAATCGATATCACTGTGTGCATATATATTCATACATATATGAAGCAATATTCATACAGTCATGTAGGCGATAGTCTATATCAGTGTAATAAATTCCGTTCCATTGTGAACTATACAAAACTATTATTAAAACTAATTTTCATCGAGATTTTCGATCCTCGAAGTATATTTCGTTTTATATCATGAAAAATGTATTTTTTTCTACTAAAAATGTTGATTTAATTATGATTTATTCACATTCACAATACTTATCCATTTTAAGTTAAATATGAGACACAGATTGAAAATTCAAATGAAAAGGATTAAATTTTATTTCCTGTTAACTACAATTTTTGGCACTTTGTGTGTTTGTCTCGTTTCAAACATGATTTGTGTCACTTGTTCCAGAGCAATAGTTTTGCTTGAATAAAATCTAATATAAAATAGGACAAGTACTGATAATTTTCATTTGAATAGTGTCAATGGTCGTTGACTAAATAAATCAGTAATACTGCCCGAAATACAAGGATAAGATGAAATAGAATTATATTTTTTCTTAATGAACAATTTTGATCAAATTTTGCTTCAAACCAAAAAAAAAAGAATGAGAGCCTTTTTCTTATATTGATAGCTAAATAAAACACCATTAAATTTGAGTCAACTATTTGAGTCGTTTTTATAATAGCCTTTTCCTTGTATTTTTTTAAATTACTTAAATCTCTTATTTAAATAAAGTAACAAATTCTTACTATTGGACTAAAATTTATCCTAAAATGTGTCGAGCTGGTACATGTTTTAGTGCTCTTTGCCAATCCTGTGTGTGCCTAAGCTCGAGCATAATTCGTGTCATTTGGTCCAGTGTCAATGTTTTATGTGAATTGAATTCAATATATTTTTCTAATGGCAAACGTGCTGCACGAATTTCCAGTCGCTTCGACTTGGCCAGTGTCAATGGTTGTCGATTTCCTTTGTCAACAATAGCTCCCAAGACATAGCAATCATCGGCATTAAATTGTTCCGGTGCGTCTGGTGCATTCGGTGATAAATAAACTAGTTTTTCAACTGGAAACACATCCGTAATATCGTTTGGCGAAATGTTCCACGGTAATTTCTCTAAATTTGGCATATTGTTTGACAATTCATACCATAGCTTTGAATTTGTGTTCATGGTACACAAATTCAGTACAAATGGTTTATGATCTAATCGATTTTCACTGAAGGAATATTTAATTTGACGCGCTAGATCTCGAATTTTTTTGGTTCGTCATTCTGTCATTGAAACCACAGTTCAATATTGGAGTGGTTCATTTAGTCTCATTGCACGCCACAGTGTGGCGGCCACACCCTATGGAAATAATGAAAATAATTAAGTTATTTTTATGTCTTTCAACAGTGGATGTATTTTTTGGAAATTGAAAACCACAAACGACCATCAGGCATAAATCAAAAAAAATTTCAAATAAAATACCGACTCATACCGACTCATAAGATATACGTTTTTGATTTTCAATTCCAAAATAAAAAGATTATTTTAGCTCCAATATGCCAATGGTAAGGGCCATACTTCAAATTTCTCCATTTAGTCATTGTTTCTCTTCTTATTTTCAAAAATTGTGTATTATGTCCTTGGCCATATCGAATATGATCGGTTTTCGGTGAACCAAATGTTCTCAGTTGCTTCTTTTCATCAAACGCACTCGTTGCTATCGTATTCCTTATCTGTGAAATCGACTTGATCGTAAACCGTTTGTACTTGATTATATTACACAAATTAAGTACAAATGGTTTACGATCAAATCGATTTTTACTGAAGGAATATTTAATTTGACGCGCCAAATCTCGAAATTCGTGGTTCGAAATTCTGTCATCGAAACCACAATATAAGAGCTGGTTCATTTAGTCTCATTGCACGCCATAATCTATGGAAATAATGACAATAATTGAACGCTCTAGAATAAAAACAACATACAGAATGGTTGTTATATCAAAGCGGAACACGGCGTTTTTTTTAAATATAGAATTTATGTTGTATTACAACAACAAATCTATGTTAAAAAAACGCCGTGTTCCGCTTTGATATAACAACCATTCAGTACGTTGTTTTTATTCTGGAGCGTTCAATTAGGATATTTTTGCTGCAAAATAATATGCCATTGATATAGGTCTTACTTGAAATTTCTCCATTTGTTGATTTGTTTATTTGTTATTCTCAAAAATTGTGTATTATGTCCTAGGCCATATCGAATATGATCAGTTTTCGGTGGACCAAATGTCCTCAGTTGCTTCTTTTCATCAAACGCAATTGTTGCTATCGTATTCCTTATCTGTGAAATCGACTTGATCGTAAACCGTTTGTACTTAATTATGTTACACAAATGGTTTACGATCAAATCGATTTTTACTGAAGGAATATTTAATTTGACGCGCTAAATCTCGAATTTCCTGGTTCGTCATTCTGTCATTGAAACCACAGCCCAATATTAGAGCTGGTTCATTTAGTCTCATTGCACGCCACAGTGTGGCCACAACCTATGGAAATATTGACAATAATTAAGATAATTTTAGCAGGAATATGCCATTAATGTGGGTCTTACTTGAAATTTCTTCCTTTGTTGATTTGTTTATTTGTTATTCTCAAAAATTGTGTATTATGTCCTAGGCCACATCGAATATGATCAGTTTTCGGCTGACCAAGTGTGCCCAGCTGTTTTTTTTGTATCACAGATACTCGCCGCTATCATACGCTTCTGTGAATTTGATAAAATTCCAATTAAATCAAATAGTGGAATAGTTAATGAATTCATTCATACCTCGTCATTCGAAGTGCCCATTGTTGATGAATGCAAATAAACATAATACTTTTGTCGTCGATTGTTTGACATCTCCAACATTTCTTCATAATCAGCTTTGGTTAAGTTTTCTAGTGGTGGCATCTTTTTCTCTTCGACCAGCCTTAGAGCAATCTAGAAATTACACAATATACTTCTCTTGTAAAGAATATACCTTCCACAATAAAGCGACTCTATTCGTTTTGTAGGTAAGAAGATAAACAAAAGACTCTTTTTTTGAAAAGAGAGTGAGATTGATACTGAAGAGGTAACTCATTCTGTATCAGTTTCGCCCTTTTTTGTTTATCTTCTGGCAGTGATGATATCCAATCAACAACCGTTTGATTTTTATACGAACAGCAAATGCGATGACGAAATCAATTGAATTGGTCGCAAAATTTCTTTTAAGACACTTCGGATCATTTTTTATTTGAAATAAAAAATGATCCGAAGCGTCTTAAAAGAATTAATGTTCTATCAATGATGAATGAATAAAAAGGTTAGCCTATGCACGTGTTACACTTTGACATAATGTATTGTTCAATGACAGCTCACGTCGATCACGGGGCAGGATTCATGCACTCATAGCACCTTCAATGTAATACTAAATAACCTACACCCATCTAGGCTTGTAATCAAGTCAATGGTGAGTTCCCTTTATTCAAAACTTGTGACAGACTCTCCCTTATTCTCGTTTACCGAAGAATTCCGCGTGGAAAAACTGGTATGGTGACCATGAGTCGAAACGGTTTTATATTGATGACAGCTATAAGGGAAAATATCAAATATTATACTTGTGAAAAAATATTCTTTTAATTAATTTTACCTGTGTCATTTCTTCGAATTTCCCATTTTGGCTTTTTTTCTACATATTCAATTCGTATTGGGTATTCTTTTCCAGTTCCAGACGTCGCTCAAACAAATAAAACAGGACATTGAAATCGGATAATTTCGTTGGACTACAGCTGACTAAATAAACCCAGCTGTTGTGTTTCATTTCTAATCTGCAAAGTAAAGAAATTAAAAAAAATCAAATTCGGTACATCAATTTGAATGAATAGAAATTAAATTGTTGTCATCATATGGCTAGATGAAATTATAAAAAACACACATTAATGCGTCGCACTTAGATACACATATTTACGGCTTTCATGCTACATACCGCTACATACACACACTGAGTTTGCCGTATGTCATCTATGGAAGATTATTGAGACACTCATACTCTTACTTCACACTGTTTTTGTATAAAACTTAATATTACGACCGTGACCGTGTATTGTAAACAATGTGTTCTTCGATGACAGTTTCCAGTTATTCACAGCGCAGGGTTCGATCATTCAGATGATAAAAACGACTGTTCTAATTCGATTTCTTCTAACAATTTTCGAGAAAATTTTATTTTCTTTGATTTCTTTCTCAATTTTTTACAATTTATTTGTAAAATTGTCGTAATCTTATTCCATTTCAAAAATAAATTTAATTCGGTAATTTTATTTATCAAATGTCTGTAACATTTTTATACTTCATAAAATTTAATTTTTTCACATGAGAATTTTACCCTAATTTCGCTTCAAATTAATTTTAATTGTCGATTTTTGTACAATTTAACCGGAAACTTTTCGAGCCGGTACATATTGTAGCGCCTTTCTCCAGTCCTGGGTTCGTTTCCATTCAAGCATAATTCGTGTCATTTGGTCCAGTGTCAATGTTTTATGTGAATTGAATTTAATATATTTTTCTAATGGCAAACGTGCTGCACGAATTCCCAGTCGCTTCGACTTGGCCAGTGTCAATGGTTGTCGATTTCCTTTGTCAACAATAGCTCCCAAGACATAGCAATCATCGGCATTAAATTGTTCCAGTGCATCTGGTGCATCCGGTGATAAATAAACTAGTTTTTCAACTGGAAACACATCCGTTATATCGTTTGGCGAAATGTTCCACGGTAATTTATCAAATTTGGGCATATTGTTTGACAATTCATACCTTAGCTTTGAATTTGTGTTCATGTTACACAAATTCAGTACAAATGGTTTACGATCTAATCGATTTTCACTGAAGGAATATTTAATTTGTCGCGCTAAATCTCGAATTTCCTGGTCCGTCATTCTGTCATTGAAACCACAGTCCAATATTAGAGCTGGTTCATTTATTCTCATCGCACGCCACAATCTATGGAAATAATGAAAATAATTAGGTTATTTTTATGTCTTCCAACAGTGGATGTATTTTTTGGAAATCGAAAACCACAAACGACAAATTGGTTTTTTGTACCCAGAATCAAATCATTCGTACAGAGAAGTAATACAATGGAAACTAGACGACTCGTCACATAAAATTTGGAACTAGTTGACACTCCGTATAAAATTGTATTTTTCCATCTAATTTCAAACCAAAAATCGTTTTTGTGTATCCTCTTTTGTGCGGTTCTTCTTCGTTTATGCTTTGAAGAAGATCCGTATAAAAATGATACACAAAAACGATATTTTGTATGAAATTAGATGGAAAAATATAATTTTATACGGAGTGTCAGCTAATTCCGAATTTTATACGACAAGCCATCTAGTTTTCATCATATAATTTCTTTGTGTGTTGACAATTTTTTTTTTCAAATAAAATATCGACTTATAATGCCAGATATCCGTTTTTGGTTTTCAATTCCAAAATAACAAGATTATTTTAGCTCCAATATGCCAATGGTAAGGGCCATACTTCAAATTTCTCCATTTAGTCATTGTTTCTCTTCTAATTTTCAAAAATTGTGTATTATGTCCTAGGCCATATCGAATATGATCGGTTTTCGGTGGACCACATGTTCCCAGTTGCTTCTTTTCATCAAAGACACTCGTTGCTATCGTATTCCTTATCTGTGAATGTAAAAAAATGTGACACAATTCAATTTAAATCAAATAGTGGAATAGTTAATGAGTTCATTCATACTTCGTTCTGTAAACTGCCCATTGTTGATTGATACAAATAAAAGTAATAACTTTGGCGTCGATTATATGACATCTTCAACATTTCCTCATAATTGGCTTTCGTTAACTTTTCTAGTGGTGGCATCTTTTTCTCTTCGGCCAGCCTTAGAGCAATCTAGAAATTACACAATTACACAATCTTCTCTTGTTTATACCTTCACCAATAAAGCGACTCTATTCGTTTTGTACTAACCTCATTCTGAATGGATCTAACCCTCTTTTGTTTATCTTCTGGCAGTGATGATATCCAATCGCCAACCGTTTGATTTGTATACGAACATCGCAAATGCGATGACGAAATTAATTGAATTGGTCTCAAAAATTCTTTTAATACGAATCGGATCATTTTTTTTTCAATGAATTAATGTTCTATCAATGATGAATGAATAAAAAGGTTAGCCTATGCACGTGTTACACTTTGACATAATGTATTGTTCAATGACAGCTCACGTCGATTACGGCGCAGGGTTCGATCATTCAAATGCTTATTACATCACATAACGCTTCTGATATTTACTGGATTTTTGTGTTTATTTCATTACTTTTCACAGAAGGAATATTTAATTTGACGCGCCAAATATCGAAGTTCGTGGTTCGACTTTGTTCATGGTGTCTCATTGCACGCCACACCCTATGGAAATAATCACAATAATTAGGATAATTTTAGCAGAAATATGCCATTAATATCTTGAAATTTCTCCACTTGTTCATTGTTTGTTCTGTTATTCTCAAAAATTGTGTATTCTGATGTAAACCATATTCAATGTGATTGGTTTTGGGCTTTTTGTGCGTTCCCAATTGTTGTTTTGTGTCGTCAATTTGTCTTCGTATCATACGCTTTATCTGTAAATGTGTTTTTGATGCATGTAAATAATTGTAATACTTTTGTCGTCGATTGTTTGACATCTCCAACATTTCCTCATAATCGGCTTTGGTTAACATCTGAAGTTGTGGCATCCTTTGCTCTTCTGCCAGTTTCAATGCTATCTAAAAATGACACAATCTCTGTTTATACCTTCCACAGTAAACTGACTCTATTCATATTGTACTTACTTCATTCTGAATGAATCTAACCCTCTTTTGTTTATCTTCTGGCAGAGATGTTATCCAATCGCCAACCGTTTGATTTGTATACGAACTTCGCAAATGCGATGATGAAATTAATTGAATTTTTTCTTCCAAGAACGTTCAACTCAATGATGAATGAAAATGTTTGCTTATGTAAAGTCATGTGTTTTATTTTGACAATATACGGCTATTTGACGTTTAGAATACATGCACTATTGATAAAACATACACATAGGCATGTTCGCGACTTTGTAAGGTTTGTCAAATCACTACAAATCAAAACAAAAGTAAACCGGCATTTTTGTATTGATGTGTTTGGGATACATACACACACACCACGAGTACTGTAGGTAAATGTATGTGAATTTATTTCGAGATATTAGAGATTTACACATTTGAAATGCCCTTTATTCTTATTTTGGACAGTTTTTAACAAAAGAGATTTTTATTAGTTTTAGCGATAATGTTCTGTTATTTTTCTACATTTTTTCGTAAATTTACTCACTTTTTCAATTTATTTAAACATTTTCCAACTTATTATGAAAAGTTCGAATTAAATTTCGATATTGTAATGGGTCTTATGTAAATGTTGGTCTCTTTCAAAGCTCGAAATCTGAAATAATAAGAAAAACAAATCATTTTTTGTGGTTCTATGAACCAATTTTATGCTTTTTATTGAATGTTCAAAGTAAATTAACCCTCCTGCAGACAGTTCATAATAATAACAGATCCAGACAGTATGGGCCTCTCAGGCCCACCGTACAAAATGTATGGAAATAATTTCAAAATGATAAAACCAATATCAATTTTGATTTTTTTTTCTGTTTTTATTCGACGAAAATAAAAAAAACGAGATGAATAAATAGAAACATAAATAAAAGTATTGAATAAATGTAAAAAAATTAATTGGAATCGGAAGAATCAGTTTTGTGTGTGCGTTTTTTTCCACATTGTGTACACAAAACCGTCATGGTTGAATATTCACCACAAACGTTTTTGTTACATTTGCCACAACAAGTTTTTGTTTTTCGACCGAGTGAAGCTGGACATAAATGACATCGACGTCTTTGAGATGATGAGTTTGTCGATAGTTCTTCAGAGACTTCTGGAATGTTCAAATGTTGGCGAACTTGATTCAAAACTACTTGATGTTCCATGTCCATGCCACGAGTCGATCTGCGAGCAATTTGATCGTAAACCAATGATTCAGACAGTTCATGTAGAAATTTTTGTACTTGTACAAAGTTTAACTCTATAAAGTATGTAACATAATTTATGTTACTTTCGTAATTTATATTGCGAACTCAAAAAAAGCCTTCCACTAACAGAGCTAAATGAAATATTCGTTCACCAAAGAAAATAAGAAAACTGAACGGACGTTTTATTGCTACTATTTCATATGTATTATACACGAGTCCGTTGGCTTTGTGGTCGCGACAGCATTAGTATGCGCAGTCATCACACATTGAATTTTTTTTTTTGGACATACGCACCACCTATACGGCTGCGCTACTGTGTCCGATCTTCAATTACGTGCGGCTATTGAATTCGTATAAAACCATTGGAGACAGAAAACAATAAAAAAAATAGAATTTGTTTGCAAAATTTTCTCTAAATACATGGATTTCCATACATTTTGTATGGTGGGCCTGAGAGGCCCATACTGTCTGGTTGAAGTGAGATTTTGGTTTTTGTCGAATAACATTTTTTTATAATTTAATATTTTACCGTTATATATTTTTTTATTTATGTATCGATATCATTAGCTTAACGCGCAAGTTTCAAGAAAATTGATTTAGTAGTTTGGATTTTATTCAATTTTTTATGAGTTGCTGGGCCTCATAGACCCATTCTGTCTGCAGGAGGGTTAACGGAGAATTAAAAAATGGAATTAACAAAAAAGGATTTTACAACTGAAAGTTGGAAATTTATATCATTTTAAAAAAAGCATAAGCAAATTTTTTGGGTTTTTCCAAGCGATAAATTGAATAAAAAGGTATGTCTACAAAAGTTTTCTTTAGAATGTTTTCAAAGTCATGTGATATCCATTTTTGTATTTCTTCATATATTTTAGCATCTTGCTGATTCAAAATTTCTTGTAATCCATCATCAATATCCACGAAAAAGGAATTACATTTACCAATTGGAGCCTTTCCAGAAGCTTCTAGGACAGCATATGCGATCTGCACACCAGATGATTCGTTATGGATATTAAATTTAGTAGAAGTAATAGCTTCTACACTAACATTTAAATCAGCAGCAAGCTGTTCTTCGCATTCGCCTCCCATATCTTTAAATTTCGAATCAAATGTATCAAGAGCTTGCCGTATCTAGCAAAAGCAGAATTTGCGGCCATTGCACCACTTGGCTCATTTTCCCTAAATAATGATGTAAAATGTAAAGGCTGCTTTGCTGCATTGTATACATTTTGAACAAATGTAATACAATTATTCTTTCCAAAAATATAATCACTATTATCTGTTGTTGCAAATTCTAATGCTCTTTCATACCCCTCTTCATCAATATTAATTGTTTTTGTGATGACATATTTTTTATTATCTCTTTTCTCCACTTCTCGAAGATGTAAATAATGTTTTTCTTCTTCTTTACTATGTATAATTTCAGGTACAATTATACCACCTTTCGCAGGGTACTTTCCAAAGAATTGTCTTTTGCCATTTTTTTCTAGACTGAGAAAAAAATGACCAACATTTGAATTTGATCATGAACCAAATTTTTTAGTGGTGCATCCACCTTCATAATATGCACCAACACTGCGATAATGTATTGACATTGACACTTGCAATACTGCTCATTGTATCTATACAAAAACAGAAAAACAAATTTCTAACAAGAAACAAATGATCGAAAAAACCAATTTTTGCATCTACGTACCAAAAATATTTAGATGTATTATACACGTGGACTGAGCTATCACTGGTGGATGAAAAAATGACTCAGCTATTCGAGTATTTGATCGATGACCTTGATCTTGCTACTTGAACAGAATGAAAAAAAATTAATCGATCAACAATTTCAGCGATAAAATCACATTTTAAATAGAAAAAAAGAAGCACTTTGCGCTTTAGTTGAAAGCCATTATCAGAGTAACTTTTATTCACGATATATAAATTCTGCACTTAATTGTACGCAATTTTCTTGTTTATTAATTTTACGAAAATTTACTTGTATTTCCAATTTATTATTAAAAAATAAAATGTCTTACATCCGTAAGATGAACTTTTCCGCACTGTGATCCACAACATGCATTTATTATTACGTAATTACGTATGTTTTACCGTAAATATGAATTCATGAGAAAACTGAATCTGATATAAGTTTTGCAATACAAATAATGTTTGATAGACATTTCAATGCCTGTATGATATCGTAATAAGCTGAAACTTTGCACAGGTTATTTTTATCACACAAAAATGCCATTCCAAAAGTTTGAAGACATTTCAATGCATATTAGGGGTACCTTCCGAACAAAATTTTGGATTTTTCGCTCAAAAACGTAATTTTGTATGGGAAGTATCCTTAATATGCACTGAAATTTCTTCAAACTTTCAGAATGTTAACTTTTTGTAAAAAAAATAACCTCTGCAAATTTTCACATGATTACGATATCATATAGGCATGGCTGCGATACAAAAATTCCCATTTTTATTGGTTTTTGTATGAAAAGTGCTTCAAAAATTATTTTTATCGTGAAACTTATGTCACATTCAGTTTTCTCGTGAATTCTTCGGAAAAGTCAGCTTGCGTACGTAAGCCTCTTTATTTTTCATATAAATTCCAAAAATTATTTCACGTTTTTCTCGATGAATTTGAATTTTCCGAATAGGAGCGAAAAAAATACGTCTACACCGGGAGAATATCATAGAAATATGGCGTCAATTTTATTGTCATAGTGAATACAAGTACAACGTTAGAAATAAATACAATAGCCGATTGCGCCGATCGGATTGCACTCATACCAATACGATACACAGATACGAAGTGTGTATGCAGTATGCACCCTGAATGACGTGCTATGTAAGTTTTGAGATAAATTCAAATGTTTGATGAAATATTTGATGAAAGCAACAAATACATTTAGAATACTTTACAAATACTCAACACTTCTCAAGTTAAGTTCATTTTGATTTCGAGCGATTTCAGTGCTTATTGATGGGTAATGAACGTTATTGTGCACTAAGTCGTATACAAACAAAATTGAGGCATTTGGGTGGTTCCTTTGAAGTTAAACTCAATTGATTATATTAAAACTTATTGCTGTTATTGCTATTGGTTCACCGAAAACAAGACACGACCTTGCTTTTACAATTTATTTGCTATTTTATAGATACGATCATTTATAAGGAAAACTATTTGCATTATTTATGTATTGATAAGCCATAACTCTTACTTCTTCATATTTGTGATGCCCACCAGAAGCAGTGAAGCACTTTTTGTATGGAAATATTTGTTGAAAATTCAACAATACGCCACCTATTAAAGACAATAAAGATTTTCGTTACTTCTGCTGTATTGACACAGCTCTAGCGAACTATATAGCTTTATTGTAAACGTATTAGTACTGAGCACATTACCCCGATTCTATGTATGCGTGTGTGTTGTAAATTTTGCACAAGCAGCTACGATGACACAGCTCTAGTGAACTAGATGGCTATCGCTGTATTACAAACTAATCTTAGTATTAGTAACACACTGAATTCGATTCTCTTTATGCGTATGTGTTATAAATTTTGCACAAGCAGCTTCGGTTGACAACTGAGTGCAGAATTTGCAATACAAACGGACACACAATATCACATTCAGTGTGTTCTTTAGTAACAAAAATCTTTATGTCTTTTAATAGATGTCGTATTCGTTGAATCTTCAACAAAATAAAATGTCTTACATACGTAAGATGAACTTTTCCGCACTGTGATCCACAACATGCATTTATTACAAATCCTTTACTCAAAGAATTTACGAGAAAACTGAATATGACATTAGTTTTACGATAAAAATGGGAATATTTGTATCGGAGCCAGGCCTATATGATATCGTAATCATGTGAATGATATCTTAAGTTAACATTCTGAAAGTTTGAAGAAATTTCAATGCATATTAGGGATACTTCCCATACAAAATTTCGTTTTTGAGCGAAAAAT